GTTGGACCCATTTTTAATCGATGTTTTAAATTTAAGACAACAAAAAATGATAATATAACGACCTAGTTGTTACAATTTGTACAAATTGGTGCATTTTCTGGACTATTTCTGAGCCCCATTCGGCCGACCTCAATAATAATCTTCTGCGCTGTCACTTAATATGTTGCTGTTGCAAGCGAGGGACTGGAAGGACTGGAAGGACCCTCTTCTTTCAAATTAAAGTATTTTATTGCATAACGATGGGTAACTTTCCCATCAAATTTACACATTCACAGAGGTATTATATACCACATTTTTTCACAAACAACACGATCTACCAATGAATAAAAAAAATTAAAAAAAGCCAGAAATGTAGCCTTCATCGATGAAGCTGCAGAGCATTTTTTCATATTTTAAAGCAAACTTTTAAGCTTTATATGTGTTTTGCAATCGAACAGAAATTGGTGTTTTTTATTGAAACCAAAATCTCACTGCGTTTTGCGCAATTAATCGGAAATAATAACAATAATAATAAAAAAAATCGAACTCAAAGCGAAGCAAATGAGCTGCAATGCATTTTATATCACTTAGCCATGCTTAAAATGTTAATACATACATCTTATTTACGCCATGCTGTGCAATAAATTCGCAAAAATGTGCAAAAACGAACACACACACACATATAAACACACACTCATACAAGTATTTTCGCTTGCCCGGCAAAATAACTGATGTGTTAACTTTATTAAGCCTTGACCAGTGCAAATTGTAATGAATGGCCATCAAGTTGGGCAGACAACGCTGACGACCCGACAATGACGATGACGATGACGACGAGTGTGCAACGCCACGCCCCTTTTAAGCCCTTTGGCCACAGCCCACTTTTTGTCGCTGTGGTTTTTTTGGAATGCAAAGCCCTTTTTGCGGACAGCAAATGGAAACGGAAAGGTGTTAGTCAAGAGATCAAGTGGTATGGGCTTGACAAACCGTGAAAAGCCCCAAAAGAAACCTTGATTGGTATGGAAAGCATTTAATCACTGAATTTTCCGGATAGCCGCGAGTCAAATAATTAACAGAGTTTTTGTAATTATGTCATAGCTGAAGGTGGAATTCTTGTGCCTATTATTATAAATATTTATTTATTTACACGCATTCTTGTAATTTTTAATTGCAATATCAATTAATTTAAAAATACAAAATAATATATTCTCAATGCTAATGAAAACAAAAAACAATCCAACATAGAGAGCTATAAATTGCAATAATATTTAAAAAATCATGGTGGTACAAATATTTTGAATGGCTTTGAGGTGATCAATTAATTCACTTTTTTGACTGCATTCCAGTCATTCTGAAAACTGATATACCATTCATGGACTTGAGATATTTTACAATTATAACTATAAAGATATTTCAACAATTCAAAGGTAAAATGTTGAAGATTTTACAAATTCACTTCGGGATATATCTTGTATACATGTAGTGTAGATAAAAAAAAAGCCAAGCGCATTTCTATATTATATCTATAAACTACAATCCTCTCCCTAATAATCAATTACTATACAGTGGTGCTAACGTTGTACGTGATTCCAAAAAAAAGAAGCTTCAATAAAAGGAAATGGTTATGTTTATATGTTTTATGGACATTAAAGCAGTCTTTGAGTATTAAAAACACTACAGGCTAGTAAAACAGGAATATATTTTAGTAAATTTTCTCGGCACTATAAAAATTCAATTACTTTATTTTCCCCACATGTGCGGTGGGTAGAAAAAAATATAAACTGTACCAACTGCCAGCCACAAAACAAACAAACACACCAAACACACACACATACTCAGGCATACTCAGGCATAGACGCAGAATCGCACTCCTGCGCCACCTGTCAGCGCTCCTCTCTAAGTCGCAGGCATTTGCAACATTTTCGCGCCGCTGTTTGCCACTCACTGCCACTGAAAACCACTTGTCCCTCTCCACACTCGACTCAACACACTCGGCACCCCATGCTAAATTACATTGAAATTTTCACATTGCCAAAAAGATGTGAGTGCCTGGCACACACACACACACACACACGCACGCACACATACTCACCTCAGACACTCGGGCTAAAATACAGTCAGCACTAGCAGCCAAAGGAAACAAGAAAGGAATGCTAAAGTCGAGCAGGCTCAACTCTTAAATACCCTGTACCACCCCACAAAAAAGTAATTAAATTAATTAATTAATTTAATTAAATTAATTAACTAAATTAATTTAATTAATTAACTAAATATTAACTAATTAAAAATAAAATATTCCATGCATGCATACATACATTTACAATTACATCAGAATCGTGTCTATGCGTGTTTGTGTACTTGTACATATGTATGTATGTGTGCATTGAGCCTGGTTATATGGCTATAACTTTCTTTCCGATCATTCTATCATAATGAGACTTGATATACGGTTATATAATTACTAACCTAATGTGACTACCAAATTTTAGTTCAAAATTCCAAGAATTACGGGAGTTATAGAAAATCGTTAATAGGGGGGGAGTGGGGGGGTGGATCAGAAAAAATGAACAAACTCGTCCTTTCTCGGTCTCAGGAGAATCTGTATACCAAGTTTGGTTATTCTAGCTCTTATACTTTCGGAGATCCTTGCGTTCATACAGACAGACAGACGGACAGACAGACGGACAGACGGACAGACGGACAGACGGACATGGCTATATCGACTCGGCTTGTCATGCTGATCAAGAATATATATACTTTGTGGGGTCTACCAAGCCTCCTTCTGTGTGTTCCATGTGCACTCGCACTAAACTAATATACCCTTGTACCCTTTGGGTACAGGGTATAAAAAGAGAAGAGGAACTGAGAAAAAGGGAATGTGCAAAATGGAGGAGTAAGAAATCTAAAACGAGACTGCCGGCGCACATTGCACACATTTGCGGCTATTCGCATGAGCGCGCAACTTTTCTTCAAACAGCCAAAAATTCCACATCCATTCCATTCCATGCTGGCTTTGCTTGCAGATAGCAAACGGGAATCTTTTTTTTTTCTTTTCACTCACACAAGCACCGCCACGCGCATAAAGTCGCCGTTAACGTCTACTCCGCTCTGACGTACTAACGATCTAGTAGTGTGTGTCTGCGTGAGTGTGTGTGTGTTTGTTTCTGTTCCATTTTTTGTTGTTGCTGTTGTACTTAGCATGTCCCGCCTTTGGCCAGCTCTAAGATAAATGCGCTGAAGAGAGCTGCACAGAGGGCAAGCAGCTTTATGAAAAGAAATTAGAGCCACGGACATAGTGGCTTTTAAGAAAAAAAATTCCTTAAGGGAAATTGGAATGTATTTTTTCAGCTATTGGCTTACAAACATAGTGTGGACTAACACTATGAACGAGCATGAAAAGCGTAGAAAAGCGTCCATTCCCACAAATGAATAATCAATCGACTGTCTGTAATGTTTGCAAACCGACCTGCTCAAAAGCTACAACTTAATTTAAATAAACTTACATACAATAATTCCTATTTTTCACAACATTCTCTTCATGGGGCACTACAAATAAAAAGATATGCTCGTTGTTTGTAAATCCTATTAAGTTTTGAGCGAGTTTTTAAGATGCTTACAATTTTAAACAAATTGTAAATGTTAAAATGTTAAATGTTATAAAAAATAAAAATTACAAACAATAAAAAATACGTGTTTCCATATTGCATTGTATTGTATTATTGTACAAGTTTATTCATTACACGAACACGCGGAATTCATTTTAAATAGACTATTCAGTAATTAACTGCCTACTTTCTTAACTTTGCTGTTTAATTTTTATAAAGAAAATTTAATACTTTTAAAGTTTTTTATAATGTCTTAACATAATCTGCAGTTTAATCCTAAACGCTAGGTTTTTATTAATTCTTAAAAAGAGTTTTTTCAACAACTAACTTCCCTATTTCTTTGAAAGGTTTTGTATAAATAAAATTATAGCCTAGAGATAGGTTTAATTTAATAAAAATTCGTTTTGTTTCTTATTTTTCCTTAGACATGCAAGGTAAAGCAAACTATTATTTTAATAATAAATAATAAATCGTCTGCTTTGGGTGTTGAACGACTGCGAGTCCAAATGTTTGCAGAGTTTGCACATTTTTCCATTTTTCCACAGAATAAGAATCAAGCGGATAGCAAACTCTTGTAGAGTTTTGTAAATTTTAGCTAAAATATTAAACCAAATGTACTAAAAATAATTTAATAGTGTTCGAAAGAGTTTTTTATAATGACTGACTATTCTGTACAGAAGCCTATTCATTCCATACGCCAATACAGTAAAGTCTCGGGCAAATAAATCTTTTAAGATGTACTATACTTAAAACTGTTTACGAGCAGTTGAACGCTTAACTCTTTTAGCTTCAACACATCAAGCAACTCAAAGGTAACCCCATTAGCCCAGCCATGGGAATGAAGTCAACGTAAGTAGTCGAGCAGTTGAGTTAACTTAAATATTCGTACGCTCCATATATGTAAGCTCTAGAGTGCGCCCAACTGTGTCAACTAATTAGCAATGCGAGCAAGTGACCAATTATCCCAATGCAGGCGTAATAAAAATAGGCAACTAAAAAAATATTATTATGTAATTTATTAATATTATTTAATTAATGTTTTCTGTCTGAATAATATTGTTAATAATGCCGCGAAGAAGATTCACAATTTAGCAGCTGCACAATAGCTCCAAAACTGACGCGTATAAGAAGTCGATCAGCATGGACACACACCGGTTGCGGATGTACGGTGCAGTGCTTCTCAAACTGAGCGCGCAAGCTTTCACCTATATTTGGTCGCTGCTTTGAGCCAACAATAATGAGCGCCAAGGCAGGCGGCATTCAGCCGCTGCCAATAACGCTGCCGAAGTCAAGTTCATAAACAATGAGCAGCGCAAATAAAACCCTCAGCCCGTTGCCTTGGCGCTTTTAGTTGACCGCTGGCGCTCGATCTCGATCGAACAAAGAGCTCGATATTGGTACAAACGGCTAAAAAGTACATAACGGGTTTTTTGTCTGTCAAATTATTACTCGTTTTTATTGCAACAAGTGTGAAGCGGAAGCGCTAATAGCCATCATAATAAAATAAAAATAATAAGCAAATTCGACAAATTTGAATAATGCTCGACAGTGCTAATTTCTGGCCAACAATCTAAATAGATTGCTATAATTTATTAATTAAAGAGCCCTAATTGGGAGCCATTAAAACAATTGCATATGCAGATGCCGAATTTGAGATTTGTGCCATTTGTTCAGCCAGTTCGAAGTGGTTATAACCGACTGTAAGCAGAGTTACGACTTACAACAACAAATCAGAAGCAGCAACAACAGCAACAACAGCAACATCAACTGCGAGCACCATAAAAGAGCTAAGGTTGAAGTGTCGACAGGTAAGCCACGGAAGCCCCAACACAGAATTCTCAACTAAATGTGAGAGACAGGCAGAAACATCGAGAGGGAGAGGCAGAGAGACAGAGAGAGAGGGAGATCATTAAAGCAACTACAGCGCAAACGAAAACAAAAACAGTTGCGCCTGCGCACAACATGTGTGACTCACAGCAGGTGGTGGGGTGGGGTGGGGTGAGGAAAGAGGCGGCATCTTGTGAGCGGGGAGTGGTGGGAAATTATGCAAAAGAGCAGCGCGCAAGTAAACCGTTAATGTTAACTCAAGCGCATTTAAAGGTTAATTTCAATTGGTGCGTCGGCTTGGCTTTAGGGTTCGATTGTGTAAAACACATGCACATGTACATTAATATATGTATGTGTGAAGCTGCATACATATATACATATAAGTAAGTATGTGTATGTGTATATCTCTGGGGGCTTTAGACTCGTTTCGTATACGCAATGTGCGCACATGTGCCGCTCGTTTGTTGTCATTGTTGTTGTGCTTCATTGCTGCTTCCAATCGCAGCTCATTAATGCGACTTCTGATTTGAGTTGAATATTTTTTACACTTTAAACAAAAAGCTCCATTCATTTGCAATCCGTTTCGATCAAAACTCTGCTACTAAATAAATTAAATAGTTACCTAATTAATTAATTTAAAGTTGTCAACAAATCTATATAAGTATACATATATAAATTATACACAATTCTAATTGTGTATAACAATGTGTATTGAATTTTTTTTTAATATGTGGAAGAAGGGTAAGGATGTTCTGCACTTGACAGCCTTTATGCCTTTGATTAATGCCATTGCCATTGCAGGGTAGGCATGATTCGGCTTGCCTTTGCAAGCCCTCATCTTGTTTTTCTGGCAATGCGCGTCACAAGCGCGACATAAAACACGTTTTTGCATACTAATGGTTGTCATTTGTATTATTAATGAATTCGGCAGAAATATTGCTTGCATTTATGACAAATTTAAGAGCAACAGCTGACAATATGAATATACGTACTTCTATCTGCTTAGAGTGCCTTTGTTCTTCATTCAAACTGGGCTTATACATACTTGCAACACATGTGTATATGAATACACTGCATATATATGCAGACTAGACTGATTTTTTTTATCGAAATTAAAAAGTTACAATTGCGAACATGTCAGAAAGTATGCTTGATGTCGCAGCCACTGCAGGGCTCGAACTGGAACGTCTGGAGGCGTGCGGTCATGTGACGTATGCCTTGAAGAAAATGCATGAGATGCTGACCAGCAAGGGTTATAATGCCCACGACGCTATCATCAGACGCCTCATGCATCAGTCTGTGCTGCAAACGGAGCTGCAACGAGTCCACGCCACCATGAAGGAGCTGAGCGGTTGTTGTGCCAGTGGCGAGCCCGAGCCACCAGATGATTTAAGAGTCCACATGGAATATGCTCACACGAAGTTTGGCGATTTCTTTACCACGGGTCAGTTCAATCCGACGGACACATTGATCAAGCTACTGATTGACGAGTCTGTTTTGAAGGCTGATTTACGTAGAAAGAGCGCTGATTTGGATCGATTGCGATCTGAAAGGAGGAACTGGATGAGGAACCTCTGCACAACAAAGCAATGGAAGCGTGGGGAATAAATTGATGTAGAAAAGAAACGTCCATGCACATGCTAAGTTTTTCTACAGACACACAAAATAAAACTTAATCTTAATGGCTTTAAATGGTTTCAGTAGTTATTGTAATCTGTTGTAAGCAAATTCCAGTAGAGGTACTGTATACTGTCTATATACGACTATTAATGCGAATAACATTAGCAAGTTAAATTACTCGGGCTGGATAGGATTATTAAACCAAACGTGATAAATGTCCGGTTAGATAAACTTTAAATTAGAGGAGCTCTTCGGATTTCATAGAAATAAAATGCTGCTTAAAGGCAAGAATAACTTTAAAACCATTGCAAATGCAGCGAACTCCAGATGGCTTGTAATTGCAAATTCGAAATAAACATTTCGAAGCGCCCAAAAAATAAATTGTTGACCCCATTCTTCTCTTTTTGCATCCGTCTCAATCAGTTATATTTGGCAGCCTCTACCTACAGCTGGCTGTATGGCAGATCTGGAAATTCTCAAATTCTTTCCAGTCTTTGTGTGTTTCCCCTTTAAGCCAGTTTTATCCGCTTATTACTCACAAAAATTGTTCACGAATTGACGCCCGAACTGCCTGCTTGAGAACCTCTTGTTCTGCAACTTCTTCACATAATTTTACATAATAATAATATTTAAATTTGCTTCACTTCGTCTCTTCCTTTGCCAAATGAGTCATCAACATTGTCAGCTCGTTTCTTATTTTGTGTTTGTATGGTTTTTTTTTCTCCCAACATTCATTGTCTGCGCGTCAAATTGTTAACTTAAAATTAAAACCAGTTCTATGCGAGGCAGCAAAAAAAAGTGTACCTCATTGTTTAAAAACTTTTGTTGTACCTTTTGGTTGAACACTTTTCGAAAACTGTTTGATTTTGGAATCTTGTATTGCTGTGTCGTGGAATTCCCTGCGCTTTGTTTGATTTCATTTACATTTAAATAATTTATATAGTTTGCGTGCAGTTGATATAAAAATTGTGTTACATTGTGAAATTAAAGTCGCATTAAGCTTCAGATGTTGACGGGTTAATAGCCGTGGCCTAAAAAAGACGGATGCTTCAAGTTAAGTGCTTTCGAAAGCCAATTGTTATAATGTTTTATGCAGAGAATGTGGCTTAAATATGACGAAAAGAATAATAACAAATGCGGTGGGTTGTTTGGAATTTTCTAAGTACATACTATCTGACAAAAGTATTTTTATCTCTGGCAGACAACAATTATGCTATTAGTTTTATGAAAACTATGTTTGCAAAAAGATTATTTAAATAAATAGTGTCATAACCTTAAACACGTTGTTTACTCACCCTTGAAATATTAAGTAAACAAACATTTCAAACGCAATTCATATGTATAACAGTTTTAGAGTCAGCTAAAAAACATTAGCTTGAGCAGTCCGCGCACACAGTTTGGGAAGCATTACATGAATAGCGCTCTCATGTAAGCAAAGCTGCGACGCAGACGCCGAAACCAGTGAGCGGAAGCTCTCGCGCAAGCAGAGCGGCGACGTCGAAGCTGGCAGCGCTGCAGCCGGCAAATGACAAAAACAAAGAGCGTGCGCGAAAAAAGCCGAAACGACACTTTCTGACAATTTGATTATTAAATATAAATTGATTATTTAATAAGCAGCGAAATAATTTATGAACACGGTTTGGCGTACACTTTGCTGGTATTTTAATTGTTTTGTAATAGATTTGAATTGGAATTATTTTATTTTCATAGCAAAAGCTTGCAATTAAAAGAAAGAAAGAAGTAAACAAATAAGAATGCTGGTAAACAGCTTTTGGTCTCTCATTAAGGAACTGATCTCGAAATCTGCAAAGTCTGTTGCAAAGTCTGTTTACGGGACAAGTTTATTCAACACTTAAAAATATTAGAATAAAATTCAACTCCGAAGACGCAGCTAAAACTCGGCTATAGGAAAAGGGGTATATTAAATACTTATATATCTTGGAAGACTTAGGAACACTGTTGAATAAAAAAAATGGGAAATGCGTATTGTATATAGCTATACCAGAAAGAGCATAGCAGAAAGCTCTCGGGGTTTTTCTTTTTTGTGGTAATTACTTTGTCAAAACACCTGATACTAAAAAAAAAACGATAAGAATACTTGTAAAAAGAGTTCCCCAATCTTCAAAAACAATCATTACAGTCCGCAATAGCGCGCAAATTAATTGAAAATGCTCAACACTGGAGATGTGTGGGGAAGGGGTGCTGCACCTTGACATTTCCATGGAGAGGGAATGATTGATGATTCATGAGACAACGGCAAAATGTTTTTATTAGACGTTATGACACGTAGTATCGAGTGTATTGATTTAATAGTTCAGATCGTTCAGCTATGTGAGTCATGCAAGCCAAGTTCCCATAATTTGTGGGGAATGCAATAAGGAAATAAAACTGTACCAATGCGAAACGTGAGCATTCTTTGTAAGCAATTTAAGTTAAGCGGCTTGACGTAACCGGTTCAGTTCTGTTGCTGTAGCTCTCAATCAAAAGTCAGAATCAATAGTCAATAAATACTTAGTATAAATATTTATGGCATATGCACATATCAACTGATATATAGTATGTCTATGAATGTATTTGTAGTGTGTGCTCTACTGGCCTTACAAGTTTGACAGGCTCTTATAAAAATAAAAGTGATTGCTTTTGTAGATATACATACTATATACCTAAAAAAGTTGTTAAAGAAATAGTTGTTGCAGATGCAAAGTAGATAATAATAATAATAGATAATAAAGACTTCAATTGGAAGTATTTTATGTAATAAATAAAATGGTAGGGAAAAATGAAATTCTAAATCACAATCACAAAAGCAAAGTATTTAAAAGAGATGTAAATCTGGCAACAACGCTGATAATTAGATAGTGAAGAATCTGAAATCTACCCTTTTTATAAACGACATCACAATATATCCAGCAAATGGCTTAAAAATGAAAAATATTTGAAGTATGTTGAAATGTTTTGAAAAGGGAAGTAAATTTGTTAAAAGTGCGGATAAAAAGTTAATAAAAGCTTAAGTTAGAAATCTTTTATGAAATAAATGAAATAGGAATGCAGAATAAAATCTCAAATCCCTCCATTTCATAACAACATCACAATATTTCCAGCAAATGGCTTAAAAATGCAAAATATTTGAAATCCAAAGAGTAAGCCATTTTTAAAAATACCATCGATTAAATTTAGAAAATTGTTGACAAGGAAGTAAATTTGTTAAAAGTTCGGAATAAAGTTAATCAAGGCCTAAGTTGAAAATATTTTATGAAATAAATTGAATGGTCAGCAAACTTAAATCTGACATCCCAATAATTCTAGCAAGCAGTGTATTGTGTACAACTTTTCACACTTTTTGCTTTGGTCTCACGATCATTAAGACATTGCGCGTTATAATTAACACAATTAGTTCTGTTTAGCACCATAAATAAAACATATTTAAGAGATTTACAATATTTGGAAAAAGTGTGTATACTATGTATGTAAAAAAAAATTGTCATTTCTTTGTCTGCTATCTGTGTATGTATATTTCATGATATTTGCATAAACGAGCGATTGTTTGACTGCAGTAAATATCATAATTTAACAGTTGTTGACTCAAGATATTTTTGTGATATCTTAACGCGTTGCATTTAAAATGTTGCTAACACTCTCCGATTTGTATCTAGAGATGCTCGCAGATGACATCATGCGCCCGCTTATCAGCACCAAATCTACTGATTGTCACATTTAGGGCTGTTATCACACAACTTGCATGTTACTATCTCCAGACCAGTGCTAATTCCCCGACCAACAACTCATTCTTTACAGATTAAAACGTTGGAATGGCAGCTACCTCGCGCACATCGCGCCAAAATCCCGCCTTCATTGGCGACGATGGACGCAGCACGGCCAGCACGGTGGTTATGTCATCGTCCTTCAACGAGCCGGTAAGTGGGATCTACAAATTTCCAAAGTGTTTCGCTATACTGGTCAGCTAATTAGATTCAGTAACGCGTAGATATATTGACAAAGTGTTTGACATTAAAAAAAAAAAAAAAACAAAATGCAGCACATTTTTAACAATGTTTCTACGTCGCTATGAGCCGATTGAAAGGACTTGGATGCAGGGAACAGTATGCTTTATTGATGCTTCTTCTTCTTTTTTAAATGTGTGCATGTTCGTGCATGAAGCATCAAGCTCAGTCAGCTTCCTATTTGAGGCGAAGATATATTAATTGTTTATTATTGCTGATAAATCGGAAAAAGCAACATCAAAGCAAAGTTGTTGGGAAATCTTATCCATACTACACAAATATTAACCAACTTCGACAGTATAAAACAATTTTATAGACCACTTGCGTTCAGCTGTTTGCCTATTAAAGATTAAAGATTACAACAAGATATATCTATCTGTGCTGAATTCTAGACAGTTTTAATTAGTGGAGATATATTTTACATCATATTTACACTAAAAAAAAAAGATAATAATAAATAACGCTCAAATAGTAATCGAGAATATTCACGAAATATCAGACAGTAATGGATATTTTTCATTAATAATTAATAATTCCTCCATAATTTGTTTATGCATTTTCGCTGCACCTATTCAGTTGGACAGCATTGTGTGAGTTCATGGACTAATCACTATTTCACGCGTCTTTGCAGGAGGATGCGGAACGTAACAAAGGACCGTCCGGTGGTCGCGAGGAGCGTGCCACATGGGGCAAGGGCATTGAGTTTCTCATGTCCTGCATTGCAATGTCCGTGGGTCTCGGAAATGTTTGGCGTTTCCCCTTCACTGCCCTGGACAATGGGGGTGGGGCATTTTTAATACCCTACCTCATTGTGCTCTTTCTGGTGGGTAAGCCCATCTACTATCTGGAAATGATAATTGGCCAGTTTTCGAGTCGCGGCTCCGTAAAAGTATTCGACTTGTGTCCAGCCATGAAGGGTAAGCTCACGCCAGCAATTACAGGCATTGCAGCTAACGTCTACCCCTCCCCCCACTAACAATATCCCGCTCTCCAACATACAATGCCATGCGATGCCATGCCCTGCCCTGCCACTGACATTATCGTGCATCCTCATCTGCATCATTTGCAATCGCTTACGCTCGCTCATTTGCAGGCGTCGGCATTGGCCAGGTAATATCGATATCTCTGGTGACCACCTACTATGTGGCCATAATGGGCATGACGTTGCGCTATCTGTACGAATCGTTTAGTGCCCCATTGCCCTGGTCCGAGTGCCGCCCGGATTGGCAGACAGCGTGTGTGGCCTCCAGTCTGGGCAACACCACCACCTCCACCTCCAATACCAATATCAATGCCCAGCAGCTGGTCAATGGCACGAGTCTGGGCCCGGAGCAGATGCCCGTGGCTTCTGCCGAGCTGTATTTTCTGTAAGTGGCTTGCAAATTGCTTGCGTAATTGTTGCACTTGGTAGCTGTTGCTGTTGCTGTTGCTGTTGCTCTTGCTGTTGCTTTTGTAGTTGTTCCTAATGTGTTTTTGCTGTTGTTCTTGGTTTTGCTTTCGCATGCTTCGTTGTTTTCTATGTGCGGGATGGTAATCTTATCTGGGAACCGCGACTTGCCGAAGCACAGTGGCTCCAAAACTCATAGTTTCTCATAGTTTTTGTTTTTTCCAAATCAATTGTCTGTTTCAGTTCACAAAAGCAGACTTTTTTTATCAATAAATAAAGTAATCGGTTTTTCAAATTATTGAATTATTTGCACACTCTTTTTCCGAGAGATAAAGAAAAGGCATATTATAGACAGAAGAAAGAATCTCCGATTTCATAGGGTATGTCAATTTTAAATCAGCATGAAGAGAGCAATCGAGCTAGACATGTCCGTCCGTCTGTACGTCCGTCTGTCTATCTGTGTGCTTGAACGCCTGAATTTCAGAGACGATTGAGCCCATATTCTAAAAACTTGCTATTTAGTCTCTTCTACTTTACAGGGAATTTGAATTTATTTAAATTTTTTAAATTTTTCCCCCTCCCTCTCACTACAGAATTTTGTGAATACAGTTCATTATTCAACACCTACATAAGCCTAACTGCACTGATTATTAATATACATATAATATAATTTATAATAACTACCTAGTTTTGTGTCAAATTTCATGCAAATTGGTCAATTCTAAGAAAAGTTATTAACAATTATACTACGCTCACAAAATTCAGGAGGGGACTTGCTCTTGTAATTCTTATTTTTGATTCTGCGGCGGAAGTTTTTTTGGGGTACAGGGTATTTCCTTTTCGAGCTAGCTTGACTATCGCATTCTCTCTTGTTTATGTAAATTATAAATATAAATTATTCTTACAAATGTGTATTATATTTCCAATCAAAAGGAAACTTCAAAGTCATTCCGCTTTCTAAATACATTACTTAACCAAAACGATGGCAGCTCGGACTAGTCTAAGATTATTTAATCACGCAATAATTATTGTTTTTGGATAACAATTAGATTAATTATAATTGGTTGTTATTGCGATTCGTTCTTGCGTTGGAAGTGACAAAATATTTCGTTTGTTGCTTCTCTGGAATTTCGAATTTAAATTGTTCGAAATGTCTTAATCAAAAATTGCTTTTCATTTTAATTTTTTTCTTATAAACAATATTTGATAAAAACAATAATATTGCGGATCAGTAGATGAGGAACCAAGGCAGTTGGTGTTCGGCCCGAATGGGCTATGTTTGCAAGACTATTCGAGATATTTCAATAATGCTAATGCTATTTTGTTGCCATTAATTAGAAAATTTCAGAAAATTCTTTAAATTTAAAACTCACTATTTGTACAGTTGTTAGAGCTATTAAATTTCATTATTTTGGTAACCAGTTTTTAACGGACTCTCTTCGCTTTTGCGTCAATTTAACACTTGGACCTGTTGCTAGAGAACTGAGAACCACTCACCTTGTTTTCTGATAAAATTGACTGCAAACTACATTGCTTAGTACTTCCAAATATCTAGAATAAATTGTAAGGAAAGATATTTCGTCAGTAAGTAGCAAAGCAGCATTTGTTCATAAATTTAAAAGCCATTAAATTTTATGAAACAGATTTAATTTGAATTGAAAAAAAAAACTTCCAATTCCATAGCAAGCTCTTAGAACACTATTTTAGACAAATTATTTAGACAAAGAAAGCTAAATTTAGGCTCAATTAGTTGCGTTTGTAATGAAATCGAAATTTGGAGCACACTGTGCCTTAAGTGCGATATGAAATCAGCGCTAGAAGATTCTCCAATTTTGTGGACTGCATCGCAGTCCAGTATTGGCAGCGAATTGTGGCGCCTTTTTATTGGCATGCGCGCTAATTAAATGAGTTGCGATGTGTGCCTAAATTGCCGTCAATTGGTGGCTTAGAAGTCTGTTGCAATAGCTTGTCGCGGTTGCAGCAGACTATGCGACATGTGGCAAGGTCAATCAATTGGCAATCGGCTGATTGATGTGCGTCCCCAAACCTGACACAATAACCCAAAAGTTGTGCGTAATTCATTCATCCTCCATCGGAAGAAGTGCACATGTTTCAATTATTTTATTTTTATTATTTTGAATTGCATGCCTGCCCATACTAATTGCATCAAAAGGTAATATAATTTGTTGCATTCAAATTGTTATTAAACAGCCGTATTATAATTAAGTGGATAGACGGAAAGTTTAACAGCCACTCCAGTTACATTGGAGTTCGGCGCTCTTCTAATAAATTGTTTTCAATTAAGTGCACTGAAAAATAAATTTGATTTGCGATTTAATTAACTTGAACAATGTATGTATAGAATTGATTTGAAAAATGAAGCAAATCAGTGAAATATTTATACGTAATTATGCATGCATTTTGTTAATTATTTTCAAATTTAAATTCAAACTAAATTCATAAAACATTCAAAATTTGTTGTCCCTGTTCTTGGCCCTCTCTCATTCCATTCGCAACCTTCATAACCAAGTTAATAACCATGCCAATCATCTAATCCCACTCGCTTCTAACCCTCCCGACATGGACAATCATTGATCTGATACTCTTTCATCACAAGGTGTTGGCGCCGGTCAGGCATTCCAGGTCCTCATGCTCAGCACCTACTACGCCGCGCTGGTGGCCATCATTGGCCAATATTTCTTCGAGTCCTTTCGCAACCCACTACCCTGGGCCACATGCCGTCCAGAGTGGGGTAAGAATTGTATCGACTCGGCGCCGCGTGAGGGTGTGGCAGACCCGACTAATTGGCAGGGGCAGCAGCAAAATTTAACAAACTTAACTCCGGACCATGACCAAAAGCGATTGATTTCAAGCTCGGAGTGGTTCTTTGTGTAAGTGCCAAGCGGTTTTATGTCAAATCAAGTCGCCGAAAAGTAGCTAAGAGGGATACGTAATGGCTAGTTTCTTGATAGTGTGATATTTTGCAAAACTACAAAGCAGTTCAGATATGTCGGGCAGATGTTGGGAATAATTGGATAATTTTGAAGAAATTTAATAAAAAGTATGCTCTCCTTTTCGAATATCAAATACAAGTCCAACATTGTTTGGTTTTGGGTTAAACGTCATTTCTTGCAGTGCACATATAATTATTTTACATAGACTGTATGCTTACATTCCTTTATCATTCACCTTTTATATTTCTTTACTATATCTTTTGAAAAGAAAAGGCTATTTTTTTTATATTATTTGACAATTTTGATATGCGTTCGATGCATTTTTCTCTTACCCTCATCAAATTTTTTGGATAGATTGATAGTTCCAATTACTTTTTTCAATAACATTCCATAATATTGATACTTAAGAACTATGTAAATGGTAGTTACCATTCGATTTAATATTTTTTAGTGACATGATTTCTTTCTGCAACTTCTATTGACTTCTAACTACCACATATTCCTAATATTTGAATAGTTTTGTAAATGTTCGACAGTGCATACAATATTTTAAAGATCAACTTCCTACTGAATTGACATTCGATATCATTCGTAAGTATCAGTAATTTTCAATAGCTATTCGATACGTTTTCCTGGTGCTTTGAATACATTCTTTTAGCACAAACCTGGCTTCTGTAAAGTAGAAGTAACAACATCATGAAGAGAATCAATTAAATAGATATTATTTTTAAATTTTAGAATCAAGCTAATATATAAATTCGTATTTTAAAAAGCTAAAGTTAGTCCGTAAGTTAATACCGTTTTCTATTATTGATAATTGTTTCAAAAACGTTGCTCATTTCTTAAGAATAGTTCTTGGAAGTAGTAACTTATCCAAGCCCTGAATCATCACCAAAATAAAGAACTTAAGCAGCCTCTTCTTAGATTTGCAAAATATCACATTCTATAGCTGCACCATAGTAGCAGAAAACTCGGATAGGGTGTTACGGAAAGAGGTGGTGGATAAAGAAAAAAAAAAACAATTGCAAGCGCTCATTCAGTAGCTTATGGATTGGGTCGATTTTTAAGTCCAAGTGCTTGTCAAGTAACAAGTGATTGGTGATTGGTTAACTTTAAGACTTAGTTTTGGTTTTGTGGAGGTTAGTGATTAACTAATTGCCCCTTAAAGTGTGCTAACTGTTGTATTGCATTGTGCCCCATTTTGTAGCAAGGAAGTTCTGCACGAGAAGGCGAACATTGAGGATGGCATTGGCCTGCCCAACTGGCAGCTGGTCGTAGGACTATTCGTGTCCTGGTTGTGTGTCTTCCTCATCATACGTCGCGGAGTCAAGAGCTCCGGCAAGGCCTCGTATTTCTTGGCCCTCTTCCCCTACGTCGTCATGGGCGTATTGCTTGTGAGAGCCGTCACGCTGCCCGGCTCCATCGATGGCATCATATATTTTATTAAGCCCGTTTGGAGCAAGATTCTGGACCCGAAAGTGTGGTACGCCGCCGTCACGCAGTGCTTCTATTCGCTGTCCGTTTGCTTCGGCAACATCATCATGTACTCCTCGTTCAACAAGTTCGGGCACAATGTGCATCGAGATGCGACAATAGTCACGGCCCTGGACACGGCCACATCCATGCTGGCGGGTTGCACCATATTTGGCATTCTGGGGCATCTGGCGCACGAAATCGGCACAGACGATATTGGCAAGGTGGTGAAGGGAGGCGCCGGATTGGCATTCATCTCCTATCCGGATGCCATAGCCAAGTTCAAGAGTCTGCCGCAAATATTCTCGGTTCTCTTCTTCTTGATGTTGTTCGTCCTCGGAATAGGCTCCAACATTGCGATGACGTCGTGCACAGTTACGGCGATTCGCGATCGCTTTCCCAACTTCAAACAGTGGCAGTGCGCTCTGCTTATTGCCTGCGTTAGCTTCGCCATTGGGCTGGTCTACATAACGCCGGTAAGTTTTAGAATGAAACTATATATATTAAAGTCAAATTGATGGTCCGTTCTTTTTTCCAGGGCGGACAATTTATGCTGACGCTTGTGGACTTCTTTGGCGCCTCGATGATTGCCTTGGTTCTGGGCATCGCCGAACTCTATACGATTGGCTGGATCTATGGCACCGATCGTCTGTGCAAGGATGTTGAGTTCATGATGGGACGCAAGGTTGGCAAATACTGGCGCCTGTGCTGGGCCGTCATCACACCACTTATTATGACCGTGATTCTCATATACTTCTATGCCACCTATGAGCCACTCACATACAACAATATCATATATCCCCACTGGGCGTATTGTAAGTGGGCGCCAGTTTACTGCTCATCTGGATTTAACTAAAGTGCTTTATCTAATTGCAGCAATCGGCTGGACTATTACGGCCTTTGGCATCCTTCAGCTGCCGCTGTGGATGATCATCGCTATTATTCGGGACCCTGGCAAGACGCTGAGCGAGAAAATTCGTGGTGCATTCAGTCCCAAGAAAAATTGGGGACCCGCTGATCCAATATTACGCGAACAGTACAATAAGGAGATTGAAAACGAGCTGATGCCGAAGCGTGGACGCGGCTTTTGGCCCAGCATCAAGCAAAACATATTTGGTTAGGGTCGACCAATTTGCTGTCCAGAATTTGTACCCGTAATGCCTGCTTAATTCGCGTGTAAATATCGTACTCCTTTAGCATAAGTTCGGAAAGTATTTGCTCATTATTTGTAAGTGTGCCAATAAAAAATGTGAAATGAAATGGATTTTTGCATTCTGTATGATTGAAGGATGAGTGAAGTGTCCCAAAGAGTAGAGATGTTTTCATATTTTTACACCTTAAAAGCCGATGAGAGAGAATCGAAATACAATATTGAAACTAGTGGTAAAAAAGACTACCGCCCTATCGATTTAAACTTTCTTGAAAGTTGTACACTCCACTACTGTGGATTCTACGTTAAAAATTTCAGTTTACAGAATAATTTAAATTTATTTGAAACAATATTTGTGGGCGTGGTACTGGAGAGTAAAAGTTTATCTGTAGAATTGAGCGATTTGGGCGAAATTTAAGAGAAAATTAGTGAAAAAGTAGATAATTAAGAATGTAATAATTGCGAGCTTAAAGTTAAAGAACTATAGGCATGACACTAATCGATAGCCGCCAGAAATAGTCGTTAACACCAATCAATAAACGCTATCAATAATCCATAACTAATAGCACTAATCAATAAACAATATCAGTAATCGATGAGCGGTCACATTAATTTATAACCGATAGCAATAAATAACTTAGCAGAAAATTCAAAAAATTTTATAAGGAGAGTCTGCCAGCTAAGTTTGGTAAGCTAAGTGGGCAAATCTAATATACCTTTTCCTTGGGTACAGGGTATAAAAACTCTAAGCTTGTACCAGTTCGCTGCACGAGTTAAAATGTATTACTACCTTTTGTTATAAATGTGTACAAATGGATACAAAATTGTTTTTCTGCTCCAAATTTTTCTCTTCCCACCCTCTCTGGCATTTGGACTACGGGTATATTTTCGTTTTCTCGATTAGCTCGCTTCGGTCATCGCCTCATCAATTCAATTTTTACACTTCTCTCTGTGTTTCAGCTCAAATTGACCGCATTGTTCCTCCATTCGCCCCCTCCCAGAGCCGGTTGCTCCATCAAATGAAATCATGAAAAATGTTATGTACTTTGTCTCCGTTACTGTCCAAATCAAACAAAAGAAGCCAGCGCACTGAAATCGTCCTTCTCATCGTTGCCGCCGTCCTGCAGGGGCTAAGGCGTCGGCTGACATCTTAAAGATAATTGCTTTGATAAGACCGAAGCCAGCCTGTACTCAAAACTGGGTAGGTATTCTTCTTTTCTTCTTCTTCTTCTTCGCTTTTTGCTCCCTCTTGTGAATGTAGCCAAATATTTACATGTCGCGGCATTGTTAAATGCCATTGCCCCCCAGCCCCTCGCAATCGTCCGCTCATTTTTGCCGATGTACTTTAAAAATGTGCTTTTGTAATTTTGTCAGCCGACTTTGTACTCCTATATCCTTGTTTGAGGGGTATGTTGGCAGTCGAAGGGTGTTTGCCAATTGTGAAAATATTTTGTAAAGGTTATTTTTTCTAGACAACTGAAAAGTGATTAAATAGGTTTCTTGAAAACGTATTATTATCTATTATGTCTGGTTATAGTCTGCTTATCATAGACATATTGGGAAAATTCCAGCATCAAGAGGTGCTTCATATAATAATTAGAATTATTACAATTATAATTAGAATTATTGTTAAAGGTATAGAAGTATTAACGAAACAAAATGTGTTTTGACACTAAGTCTGGAAATATTTATTATTACAAGCATTACACTTAAATTAATAGTTGTTTCTGTTTTCTAATACTATGCTGTTTTGTTTGTATTTCTGTTGGGGGTCATTAATTATTTAAAAGATCGTTACGAATTTTTGTATACCATGTCGGTTTTTCTTTTCATTTTTACAATACATATGGCTATTTTTATAATTCCTACATAATAATTCCATCAAGAAAAGCTGCTAAATATAATTAGAATTATTGTTAAAGGTATAGTCGTCTTAAACAAAAAAAAAAAAGAAGAAAATGTCTGGAGACTTAGACGGGCTGTATTTATTAAATTTACAAGCATTGCTCTTAAAACTTATAAACTAAACTTTTTTAAAACTTTTTTTCCAATACCATGTTGATTGTTTTTTCACTTCTGTTGGCCCTTAGTTATTTATTTTCAGTTTTTATTTTCTTTCTTTCCACTATAACTCTTTAAGTCTTGTCTTGCGTCTCAAAAAATGCAAATATTGCATATATTTATTTGTATTGTATGGTATTTGTTACTTATCCTTTATATATGGCTTTTTAGCTTTTTTGAGGGTATCTGAGTCGTGTGAAACTTCTTGTTTTTTTCACAATTTTTAGTCCTTTCAAGTCTGCCCGCATTTGGCCTGCGGCTTGACTTTGGTCACTCGCTGGCTGTGGCGGATGGGGGAGTCAGTTGTTTCCAGGGATCTGTGGGAGGGGGGCTGGGAAAACCGCATAAAAGTCATTGTCACAGCAAATGGATTAATTTTCGCGGCACGTTGTCATATTTTCCATCTCGCTTGCACACGCGCGCGCCTGCTGTGAATTTTTATAAAGAAATTAAAAACGTCGGTCAGCTGGGTGAGCGGTGCGGGTGAGCGGTGCCGGCCAGAGTGGGGTGGTCATGGATATGTTGGCGGATGCGGGGACGTCGCTGTTTACCGCAACAATAATTACGTTTTGGGCGCTTTTGATGCAGCACGGAAGTGTATAATGCCGCTAAGTAGTTGTGGTTATTTGTTGTTGTAGCATTCCTTGTCTGTTGTTGTTTTTGTTGCACTGCGCCATTTTTTCGACTGCTTTATTGTCGTTTGTTTTATTTTTTGTATATTTTTTTTTTGCGCCTTATCGCTTTTGTCGCCGTAATTATAACTAAAAAGGCAACAGGAGGCCTTTACTTCTCACACCCCCTCTCCCTCCCTAGTTCACAGCTCCACATGCCACATAATTATGTTGGGCCCAAATAAAAGGCGACAGGAGTGCCAGAGTAGGAGATGGAGGAGTCGAGTAACCTTCATTTCTTTTGTTATTGTTGAGTTCTGCTTATTTGTTGTCATTTGCCATTTGCAGAAAATGCAAGAGTTTGTATGAAAATTAACAACCACAAAAGAAATGCAAAAAGGGTAACGCTTGGAATTGAAATTGCGGCATTAGTGTCTTTGACTTTGGCGCGTAATTGAAAACACGCAGCCACACATACTCGGAACAGCGACAAATGTTATCCTTTTCATAAATTATATACTAAATATAGCATACATGTGTCGCAGGCAGGTCTGTATGTTACAGGCTTAGAGCTGGCAGGTAAAGTTATTCGAACAGAATCATATTCCTAATTCATAAGAGTGTAATTAAGGTTAAGGTTTTTTTGGAGATTTATTTGTTGCTTAGCAGTAAAAAAGATTTACAAAAACATGTTATTTTCAATCTTATAAACAAAATTGTTAGAGTCATCGTAAGAAGGACTTACTTCCGAGCAACGCATACAAAATTTGGCAATATATTCCAAAATTAGAGTTAAAAATTGTAATTTTATTTAGGCTTCAACTACATCGATCAAATAAAACCATTTAAGGAAAACTTGGAAAAGTATCTCACAAAATTGACTGCCTGTTTTCCAATTTCTTTAGTTCTTTAAAATAATAAAAATATTTGTATTATTATAATATACTTTTATATATATTTCAAAAAGATATAAGCATATAATGTAAGTATATTTATTTAAATAATTTATATAAAACGATAGGCCAGTAAATAGTAAAGTAAAATAGTTGGCATCTGTTTGTAAATGCTCTACCGACATAGATGAACATATAATCGTAAGTTCCTCAAATTCTAGATTTCCAATGCTGACTGGTCGGATTCTTAATTTCAAAAAAATATATAAATAAATAAGAATTTTATGTTTAGAAATGTGAGCACCCTTTTACCCTTTACCTTTTATCTTTAGTTATGGTTTTTCTGTAGGATTTTCTTTTGTTTTTTTGCTTTCTTGCTGCTTTCCAAATATTTGATGAACATTAGCTTGCCTTAATCTTTGTTTTTCGATTTCTAGCTGTCTCTTCCTTTCAGCTTCAGCTTTTTTTTCTATTTCCTTCTGCTTTTTTATTTTGTCCTTGAAATGACTTTCAAATACTGAGCCCTTGTAAATTTCGGAGAGAATTTTCATTGCCTTATTTCCGGCAACCTTTGCCACATCCCTGCATATATTCAGACAATCGGTGAGATAATGAAATCCACCTGAACATGCATATCTTTCGAAACACCTTTGCACTGATGCAATAAAAAAATATTTCGGATCGCGCGTAACACAACCCTTAATGCTAGGGCGTTCAGAGCAGGCTTCTGAAAACAAACTTAGAATAAGATCGAATTATAGAAAAAACGTTGCGACACCATTTACCGACTGGCGGATCGCCTGGATAACAATAAATACTGTGCTGCCAGATTAAAATCTGAACAATTACGATAAGTATGCGCGTAAGCATTTTCCAAAAGTTCGCTTCACATATATGTTTAATTACACGAAGAAAAGCTAGTACTTCTTCAACTTTCTTGGCCCAGCTCTGCAATTGAACTGTGCGAAGTAAATATTTATTTGCATATGCTATTCAAATAGTTAATACGATTATCCAAGCCATTTAGCCATGCCATGGAAATGCATGATAAGCAAAGTAATAAAGAGCCACAACTTAAAAGCGCATACATTCGTTCAGAGTGAAAGAAATAAACAAAAGGGGCGGTTTTTATAATAACCAGCAAGGTTTCTTAAGGACTGCAAATAATCGATCCTTATAGTCTGTGCGGTCACGTCTTTTAAATCAATTTTGATCTATTGTTAATTATATGAGTTACTTACGTAGTAGAAAGTCATTTATTTAGTGCTAAACAAATATTTAACGTTTCCCAAATGTAAAAAAATCTGTGGATAATTTATGATATTATAAAGTGAAGAGACTTTTCTCACAATTCGTGAGAAGTGCATCGTACAAACTTACTTGTTTACTATATTTCTTCAGTTTGTGTTAAATAAAATTTCTTATTCATAAACAATTACAATTTGCAATTACATTCCCAATGCACACACACACAACTCTAATGGAAGTTATATGCCGATTACAGACATACCCAAATGCACATACTATATATAGTATATTTATCCCGATTTAGTATTCAATTATTTTTCAATTTCAGTTTCAAGAAATTTAAAACGAGTTCAATTGCTGTTAACATGTTTAGAGAAACAGATAGAAGCAATGCAGCAAGAAAAGGTGCAAGGCAATGGCTCTAAAACTGTGGAGGAGTAATGGAAAGACATCGTGTTTTGGATTCTTATTGTAAGATGTTATGTTATTTTTGGATTAAATACAATTTACTTCTGTATTTTTCAGTGTATATATCTACAACAAAAAACATTTTAAGATATATAAGTATATATATTTTTTAATTATTCTACTCCATTACATTTCGTTCAGAGTTCAGCTGTCGAGTGTGATTGGCAACTGTCGCTTCTCAAAAGTCAGTTTTGACGCTTTTTGCCTTTTATTATTATTTGTGTTTTTTTTTGCGCTGTAGCTCCTTGGTTCGTCAATTAACCCAACACACAAATTGCAAGTTTTTCTCAACTTAAATGGCCTTTTTCTGTGGCTTCATCCTGAGACGAAGTTGCACTCACACTTTTCTCATTACAAGCCGAAGAAGAGATGGCCACGAAGACGACGTTTACTGCATTCTGCCACTGGCATCAACTATGATTGTATATATATTGTATATATATATATATATATATATATATATATATATATATATATATATATGCACACACACACATATACATATACACATACCTATATACTATGTGGCACACTTGCTATTGTTCTACGTTGGCCAAAACAACACAAATTGTTATGATAAAAGTTTTTATCAAGTTTTGCTTATTGTTATTGTTGCTGTTGCCTGATTGCTGTTGTTGTTGTTGCTGTTGTTGTCGTTGTCGCTGTAGTTGTCGTTGTTGGCGTCTGCACGTCTGGAGTTGTCTATAAGGCTGCGTTGATGTTCCAGTGGAGATAAGCGATATGCAGACAGCAAGTTTTGCACAAATTTGCGTAGTTTTCTTACAAGAAAACAAAGCTGCCCCGAAATTGTGGAGTGAGTTCTTCGGTCATTTCATGTGGGCGGGGGTGGGGGTGGGGGTTAGATGTGGTGGATTCTTGGAAGTAACTGAGGCTGGCAATTTTGCACTGCTCATAAAATTTTAACTACTTACAAAAATACTGCTAACTGGTAAAGTTTAAGCCAAAAATCATTAAGTCTGCAGTGTTGCCGCCTTGTGAAGTTTGCCAGCCAGCCAGCCCGAACGCTAAGGGAATTGGCCTGCCACGCCTCTTTTTCTTTGGGTTGCATGGTCATTTTGTGGTCGCCTCATGGGAGCAGCCATTGTCATTATGACTGTCAGCTGGACCTTCGGCAACGAGCAAGCGAATCGATGTGTGTGTGTGTGTTTCTTTATCGCTGTCTCTTTCACTTTTTACTCCAACTTTTTAATTGCAATTAAAAACTAAGCTTAAAGTCTTGCAGTTGGAGATGAGCGTTCTCCAAGAATCCAATCGAATAGAATAGTAAAAAAAAGTCTAAAAAAACTGGAAGTTTTTATTATATAAAAAACACCCGCAATTAAGAAAAGAAATTAACTTTTCTTTACAGTTTATTTTATTTTTCCCAATTGAAAAAAACAGCTTTTAAGATACTTCACTTCCAAAAGTCATCTCTGAAAGCTCTTTTAATCTGATTAGATCAAATAAACTGATTTTCCAAAAGGCAGAATATAATATGTTATACATTTTAAATATTTTAATATACATTCAAAATGTTTTATAGTTGCACTTTAAAATCAATACTTTTTTAAAGAATAATTGTAATTTCTATTATTCATTGTTTTTCTTTTATATCTGAATGAATATTTTGTACGTTTCCATGTCTTAAAATAAATTAGTAAATAAATAAATAACTATTAAATGATCTGAATAGTTTGAATTAAGAACACATTTTATATATTATTTAAACATTTCTGTTGAGCTAAACACAATAAAAGATGAAAAAATTAGCAATAGAGAAAAAGATAGAAAGAGCGATAACATTTTGTATTGTATTTTCTAAACATTTTTCAAAGCTGGACTCTCAATTTCGCCTTTAAGGTCAAGTAAGGATAAGTTTTTAGAATATGTCTAATGGTATTATATTAATTGATTCGCCAAATAGTCCTAAATTCGAATCATCGACAATATCGCAGACTTCTAATATTTCGAACCCAAGCTTGTTTATAAAATACTTTTATGAAAACAGAGAAGTCAACCCGATCTAAATTAAATATATAGTATGGCTTATGTGTGTTTTGTTCAAAATGTTTTTAAAAAAAATATGAATGCTTCCATTTTGAGTCCACTAGGCTTTGTAATATTAATACTTTGTTCCACCACTACCTAACAGCTCTTTGTAATTCTCAGTTACTGACCATTTGGTTGTTTAATTGAATGACTGCTCCAAAAAAGTTGTTACATTCCAGTTGTTCAACACATTTTAAAGAAAATGGACAGCTTTTCAAGCTGCGGCCAACTGCAGCGGCAAAAGCAAACTAAACGAGGATGGAGGAGAAAAAATAGAAAACCAAAACCAAAGGCTAAAGCAAAAGCTCAGACACGGACAGAGCCACAGTCAGAGGCACAGATACAGACACAGATACAGAGAGAAATCATTTTGCTCACATGTTATGTGTAGGTAATCTCCTTTATTACTGCGGCAACTTTTCGGAGCAGAAGCATAAAACAGGATTTGCTTGGACTGCGGTGTAGGTCGGTCTCTCTGTTCGCCTCGTTTACAACTTTTGCATAACATGCGAGACAAACTACTACCTACTAATAGCGGGACCTGAGCTCGGTTCGCAGCTCATTTCCTCCACTCAGCACTCTCCTCGGCGCTTCTCACCAAAGGTGGACTGTGTGTGTGTGTTTGTATTACGAAAATGTTTATTTGCGGCGCTTATAAAAAGCCATGTCATAAAACAAAGTTTGGTCGAATTATGTTCCCCACACATTTACACAGATACGATGTTTATGCATACTATATAGTAGGTAGAGACATCCGACAACATACACATATTACATCACATAAATTGCTTGAAGTGCGCTAATTGAAAATTGTTCTACAGGGTTGTAAAATTAATGCATTTGTATAATGAAAATGGCGGCTTGTGTGGTTTTTGTGTGGCACTGTGTGCATCGTAAAGAGCGCCATCAATTTTCATGGGGCTAAAACGACTGCGGCGACTATACCTGCGGGCCATTTCGGGCAACAAATTGGAGAATCGCGCCTAATGTGTGGTAAGCAGCTACCACGATTTAATTGAAGAAGCAACTCAAAATTGCCATTTAGCAAAAATAACAATTTAGAAAAACAATGCAAGCAATAAAATATAACAAGTGGAGTTATCTGAGCAGCAATAAGCAAGGCATTAATTTTTTTTAATTCTTTTAATTTAATTCTGTCGTTAAAAGAATTTGATTGTGATCTTAATTTGCTTAAGCTTTGCTGAGCAGCACACATTGCACAAGCATTTAAATACACTCTATTCCAAATAGAGTCTGATATATGTAAGCTATAATGCCTTGACAGCTTGTAAGAATTGAGTTCCTTGTATACTGCAGTTCTTTGCTTTCTAATAAATATATTACTCTATTATTTCTGGTAGAAATTGTGAATAGCATACCTATCTTTTGATGTATTACTTAAATCACCGAATTGAATAAGATGTTACTATACATAATTCTAGAAACAATTTAAAAACAATTACTTCCTAATACAAATTGCAGCTAAAGGATCGAATATATATAAATTTCAATTTCAACTTATTGGTTTTAAAAAAGTCAGTTCAAATCTCAATTAAAGTTGAATTAATAATTTTAATTTTAAGCCAACCAATTGGGAGTTGGACTCACATATATTAGTATTTATTTATTATTATTCATTTATTTGTTATTGCAAATCTGCATAATTGCATGGCATGGGGATTCTGTTTTTTGCTGAATTCACGAATCACAGCCTTAAATCGCACATCACAGTCGTACGAGGCAACATCAAATCACGATCCTTAATTTGTGTTTTGCGCAACACTGGCTGTTTATTTTGTTGCTGGCCACCTTTCCTGCGAGCAAGCAAACAAAACCTTTTTATTCTCGAATTTGGCATACCCGTACTCGTACCTTCCATTTGTTGCATACTTTTAGGTGCAAAACATATTCTAATGTGCCTAAAGTATGTTTGTGCCTTTGGGGCAGGCGGCGAAATAAAAGAAACGAACGAGGCACATGGAAAAAAGAAATCGCTCTGCGCATTTTCCCTTCTGCCACTTTTTCTATACTGTTCTTTTTTTGTAAATATAATTTTTCTATTGCTGCGTTGCTTTGCTGCTTGGGCGCCATTTGCTTTTTATAGCCACACGCGTTTGCCTCTCAAATTTT